ACTAGGCAGCCCAAATGTGGCCTAAATTTCTAGGGCAAGATGAGATGTCTGATAAAGGAAGAGGGTGGGGACACCATTTATTTCCACCCCTTTTTCCTTATTCAACAGACTTTCCTTTGGAAAACCTTGGATTCCTAGTCACTCCTCCAATATTTGATGTTTAATTTCCACTGCTAGGCCTAAAGGCTCCTATGAGTCACTTGCTGTGCAGACAAGTTTCCTTCCTGACAGTGCTCTTTAAAAAAACTCTGTTACCCAGTTCCTCTTTTGCAGTGGCTAGCTTTAGGCTAAGCCTGTCTTTTTATAAATGGCTAAAAGAAAAATAGAGTCTATAGAAACCGTAAGCTCAGCAAAAGGGTTTCAGAGGTTTTGCTGGCTGAGCTTTGGGTTTTAGGTACAGACGCTTCCCTTACAGTAGGATCCACGTCCTCATTCTGCCATTCACTCACGATGGCCCTGGCTACTGAAATCACTGAAGCCAACTGAAATGGAAGCTTTGGCTGCTACAGTGACTGATGTGTCTGCAGCACACGGACCTTGCACTCACCCTTGCCATTCATACAGCCTGGCATTGCACAGCCGTTCTCGGAGACACAGCTCCCTCAGGTGGTGCCTTTACCAGCTGTAAAACCTCCAGGAAAGCAGAGAAGAAAACAGCAGTGCCAACATAAACCAATATCTACAAGTACTCCCTTCTCATACAAGTGGAGAAATCAGCATCCCACTCTCAGCAGGAATATTAACAGGAGCATCACGGGAGCATCCCAGGCCTACAGACCTTGCTCTCCCACTTGCAAGGGCAAGACAAGACACACCATCGTGAGATGAGGGATCAAGAGTAAGAACAGAGCAGGGGCAGAGCAGGGCAAGCCCCCAGTCCCCTGGCACAGAAGTTCTTTCTAGGGAAGGAGCTTAGTGAGTTTCTTCCCAGCAGGATCCTCCAGAAAACCTGCCAATAAACACAGGGTGTCTCTGGGGCACCAAGCCAAATGGGGAGTCAGCTGAAGCAGGCTTTGGGAAGAGCCCATCATGGAAACACTTGAGGTGTATGCATGTTTCATGAAAGAAAAGCTGGAGACCAGGGCGCCCTTCCATAGGAACTTGTTGGCAAACAAGAACTCCGTTATTTCATTCCCGCTCTTCACAGAAAGCTCACCTTGCCTTTAACAGAGGAAGAGGGGATTTTCTAACTCCAGCTGCTAACAGCAGCAGTCCTGGATATTTCATCCTGTGGCTCTTCAAGGGCTAGTTGTCGTAATGCACCAGCCTTACCGCCTGTCCCCATTTCAGCCAGGTGTTCAACCAGGGAGTGCCAGGCACAGAAATGCTGTTTTGGGATGCCTGCAGGCAGGTTTGTTTCAGAGCTGTTCCCCTCCAGGGGTTTGCAGTGGCCATGTCCACCACATGTATTCTCACACCCATCTGCTTTGCACCATGCTCGCTCGCCTGCCCCATGCCCCACGAAAGGTCTGGAAAAGAAAGCAGGTATTTGTGTGGGAGGCCAGGCAGCAGCCCAAAACACTTTCCTGCTGTTATTGTGTGGGCATAGAAAGCGTGTGGGAAATGCACCAATGAGCATCTCTATTGTGGGGTTATCTCTTCCTGTTATCTCAAAACTGCCTTTCAGATACACCGAAAGGCAGAAACTGTTGAACAATAGCACCCAAACCAAAGGCGGGTGAGGCAGCGGCACCTCAGTGCTGCTGACAGCCAGGTGGGCAGGATAAACGTTGCCTCAGTCATTTGTCTGCCCTAATCTTTGCTTTCTCCTTCCCTCTGTGTGTATCAACTGGCAGCTTACTCTGGTGGTGCAGGGCCAGGGAGGGAGAGCAGGGCCTGCCAGCACTGTGGGCTCTGGGCTGATGGCACTCACCACATGCCCATAGAGGCAGTCAGAGAAGGGGGAGTTGGCATCAGCTGTGCACTTCCCATGCCAGAAGGCAGCAAAGAGGTGTAGTACCTCTCTTCAACCCTGTCAGAGCCAGGGATGACTCCTGACAGCACTGGCAAAGGCTGCCAACAACAAAGCAACCTGGAGCAGGGCTTCTCGGGGTAGGCATGATCATGAGGCATGATCATGATCATGCTTTGAAGCCATGAGGGCACCGTGGAAGTCCCCTCTCCTCCCTTAGGCTGCCATGTGCATAGGTGGAGTCCTGAGGTGTCGTTTGAAGAGGAAAAATAAACTGCTCAGAGTGGGTGTTTTGTAGGAAAGGAAAGCTAGAACAGACAGCAGTGCTGCAGCAGTGCTGCCTGGGAAAGGGCAACAGGAGGTAAGAACAAGGCAGCTGGTCCTCAGATTAAAAAGGGAGGGGGAAGCAGGAGGCCCAGCAAGGCACGCAATGCAGCCCCTGCCCAAAGGGTAAATCGCATTTCAGATGAGAGCTCTGCATGGAAAGACACATCCCAGGACTGCAAATCAGTGTCTTTTCCCTATGGCATCATTTCAGCAAACATCCCAAAAAAGACATTTGTACTAGCCACGGTTTCCTTCTTGACCTTTTACGGGCTTAGAGTTTTATTTTAGAAATGAAATTATCTGGCTGGCTCCAGCACTGCCTGTGCCAGAAGCCTGAAAACCTCCCTCTGGACAGGCTAATACCCAACTGACATACAAGGAGGTCTTGTCTACTTTACTGGAAAGGCCAAGCTTGGGCAGCAAGTGCTGCTGATACCATGTGGACTAATACTGGGATAGAAGATTTGTATCTTCTACAGAACCAACCATTACTCTTTTGTGTGCCTGCTCAGCCTGCCCTTCTGGCGAGCACTGCAGGATCACAGCACGACTACAGACCTGCTTTGATCACGGGGCTGCACTTCCCTGCCATTCCTTCAGCACTGGCTCTGCAGCACACCACCAAGCAAAACTAATACCTAGGCAGCATGAACTGCATCTCTCTGAACAGGGAGGATAAGGCAGCACATGGATAAGGATAAACCCAGCACGTCAGTCATCTCATCTCATCCCCCTTAAGAAGAATGGGAAAAAACTCCTCACCTCCTCTGACTCATTGGTAAATGCATCTACGAAAGAAGAACCAAGAAATGTTACAGCAAGCACCACCAGAGCCAAGCACTTCCTGTTATTTCTTAGGCCCCAATGTCAGTTCATTTTCCAGAACTGAAACGTGCTCTACAGCATAAAAGGCTGAGATTTGAATGCTCCATGACACACATTTCAGAAAAACTGCTGACTTATCAAGGAGGCACCAAGTGGAATTCATACTATACAAGTATCACCCATTGCAGCATGTCAGGAACAAATATGAGACATCACAAAAACAATGGTGGTTGTCAAAGAAAAAGGCATCCATCAAAAACAAGTATTGCCCTGTTTAGTTTTCCATTGCAAAGGCATACTCTGTGCTCCTAGTACTTTCTTGCCTGCCTGACAAGGACTGTGTTTTGGTGTAAGTACACCCAACAGGGCTAAATTCAGTTCTTTTTTATTTAGCTTCGAGCCTCTTGGCGTGTAAGATGGAAACATTTAGATGAAAAAAAAGTCCCATAACCCAGAAGAGTCCTCAGTGATTTGGCTGAGGCTGGTTACAGCAACTGGGTGGAGGGCAGCATTAAAACACACACCTCCACACTTCACTCATGTGCGCTGCTGTGGCCTCTGTCCTGCCCTATACTCAAGGTGCCCACTGGCAGCCCTGCTCCCCAGGAACGTGAGCCAAGGGCAGCTCTTGGATGTGCTCAGCCCTCCCATGGCTTAAGCTGAGACAACAGAGGTTTCCACAGTTCATAGGGTTGTCTCAAGCACAGTCTTGAAGGCAGGTTTAGACCCGGTTTGTGACTTCTTTCCTCCCATTCCCATCCTGGGCATGACTTAGCTTTGTGCTGCAATTCCTTGCTGGAAGACCAAGCACACCTTTGTGCCGGGCCAGAGTCACCCTGACATCACCTCACACACACACTGGTCCTCCCCTGCAAGGAACTGTGCCAAGTGTCACCCCACCAGCCCCAGGCAGAGGAGGGCCCCACACTCAGGTGGCAGCCAGTACCTCCCAGAGATGATGTGAAACCTCCTGCAACCATGATTCTGTGGCTCAGGGACCAAAACGGTTTTGTTGCCTCCTTTGTATCAGCATGAGATGACAGATGCTAAAGTACCAACCAGCACAGATGTGAGCTAAGATCCTCTCCATCCAGTCTTTTCTTTATTCATTCACTGCAGGGATATAGCATATGGTATGTTACAAAAATAAACCATGAAATGTTTACCAAGGGCAACTTTAACTGGTGAAAGCCCTAAAACAAGCTGCAGGAAGCTACAAGAGCAAGTAACACTCTCAGGGCTGTGCCCAGTGTGAGAGTTCTAAAGAAGTGACTGAGCTTTGGAGGAATCAGAGACCTCCTTCTCCTTACACCTCCATTCCCTTATACCAGAGGAGTTTACCAGTCAAATTTCTGAGGAGAAACAAAGAATGGCTGGTTTATCTCCATGGGAATGTGTAGGATAGTCAAGCCTGCAAGAGGTATTATGCGTTCTTCTACCTAACACCAACAAACTAGCTGGATGTCTCATACTCTGTGTCTCTCACAACTCTCCTCCTTCACCTGCACTGCCTCTTACACCAGATGGGCCAGTGTACCCATTCAATCATTGCTCTAAAAAAGACCTGTCCTCTCTTGGCCCCTCAGTTGTAGAGGAAGTTTATGAACATCTCCATGGACCAGAGGAGTGAGCAGTGTCCCGCACACAGAGGGTAATGCAGGTACAGCTACCACAGTTCAACTTCTCCCTTTGAGAGGGAGGTCTTTCAGCAGCTCACTATCATCACCTTGTTGTGAGTGAGGTGTTTTCTAGCAAAATCAAGAGGCATGGTCTCTTCACCCTGAGCAGGAGGCCCTGTGACAGAAAGCCATGACAATTCAGACAATGCCAGCAGTAATCAGACTGCTTAGCAGTTCATAATGTTTGTTTCATGAGCCAACAGGTACCAGAACTCTTCTAGGAGAAAAAAAATGTCTGGATAGCTAAACAGGCATGCTGAGAATAAAAGTTTGTTTTATTTGCCAACACAAAAACTGAGCTGAAACAGTCATTGGAGAGGCCCTGTAGCATGTTCCCTCAGCAGGATGAGGATGCCTCACAGACAGTTGTCTCATCCACCCTTTGAAACCCCCAGTGCTAGAGATCCTCTCCCAGAAATCTATTTCAATGTTTCATCTAGAAAAAAAAAAAAAAAGTCCTGACCTAAGTGTTCCTTGTTGCAATTTAAGCTCAGGGTTTCTTGTTCTGAACACAGTGGCAAAAGGAAAAGGGAAAGCTGATTCCTTTCCCACTCGTGTTTTTTCCCCCACAGGTGCTTCAAGGCTCTTATATGTCCTTCCAGTATTTTCTCTGCAGTAGATGACACTGATTCTTTCAACTTCAGGCAAGCATTTAATTACATACAACTATTTTTTGGTCCAGGAGGTCGCATATTTGTGTTTGATGCTGAATCCAGAGAGCTGTCCTAAGGAGTGGCAGGAGAAATATACATGACAAAACCCTGCAAGATCCATGGGTCCATTTTGTCTCACTAGAGCTTTCACTTCTTCTTAATACCAACCATCCAAAAGGCATGAAGACAACAAAGTGTGGTAAAAAGTGAACCTCAGAAAGACAGAGGTTTCAAGGCTCAGTGCTCCATACCCTAACATGGAGACACATGAAGAAAAATGGCCACAGGGATGAATGCCCATCACCTTGAATCTCCTCCACCGGCTCTCCTCATCTCCATTTGATGCTCTCTCCCTAATTTTCTGCAACAAAAGCTGTCGTTTCATAGCTGAGCATTACGCAAGGCTGGGCGGGAGGTGCTCCTGACTTTTGGAAACTTCCTTTCCCCAGTGAATGGTGGAGAAGACAGACGACCAGGGACGCACGTTTAAGGTCTTTCTTTCAGGTGGTTCGGAGTGCGGGGCTGAGTGCGGGGCCGGGGCCGGGGGGGCTGTGGCTGCTGCTGCCCCTGGGGCTGCGGCAGCGGCCGCTGCTGCACCCGCAGTTGCTTCGGGGTGGGAGCGCACGGCGTGGGGGGCAGCTCCCGCACCGCCCGCTCACACTCCGCCGGCAGGGTCTGCATCATCCGCTGCTCATCTGCAACGACAGAAGGACCCCGCAATCAGGGACATGCTACGAAGTCTTAGAAATGTCCTCGGCCCAAGCAGGAAAAAGCCGAATGTCAATCTTAACCTGCCCCTTTCAGGTGTTCCTGCTATCCCAGTTAACAAGAAAAATCACCTCTGCCTGCACATCCCGGGCAAACACAGAAGCTTTTTTCATCTGCCTGGCTGAGATCAAGGTACCTAGAGCATTTGGGGCAGCTCTACCCTGTCTGTTGAGGGAACCAGCTTTGTCAGGGAGGCCCCAGTGGTCATCAGTAGCCTGAGCTGCTCTGTCCTCTTTTGGAGGCTACTGAAGGGAAAGTGAGATGTAACACCAGGAAGCGACATCAAAGCACTCTGCCCTGCCATTATCCGTGCTGGGATTTCCAGACACCTGGAAGTCAGAAATCCCTTTTCTCAGCATTAATTTTCTCACATACAGAAGAAGTTAATTCACTCCAGCTGACTTCTGATCACTGACTCATCATTCTGAAATGCCACTCAGCTTAGTTTAGGGGATTGAGGGATTTACCTCTTGGGACACTGAGCACACACCAAACTGTTTCGAAGAGACTAGTCACCCTCTTATATTAGTTCTCATTTTCCCATCACCCTCTTACATTAGTTCTCATTTTCCCAGACTTGTTTTCTTAATTCTTGCTGAAACCAGACTCAAAAATTGAGGATATGGTGTCACTGCACAGTTGAAGGAGTAATCTATACCACTCAAATGGGAACAGCTCACACCAGCATTGTGCTCACATTGTGCAAACCTTCTGAGACAACATGCTGTGGTTGCACTGCTGTGAGCTCTCCCAGAAAACTGGAAAGCACTTGCCTGTTCTTCATAGTCACAGCTTTAGGGAAAGCAGGAGAGCCATGGAAAGTTACCCATGCTCAGGTGTAGTGAGGTTGCTCTCACCTCGGCCATGGGACTGATCATGCTCACCATTGTTGTCACCTGACCATTGGCATCTTGGAGGTATCAGCTGAGGTTTCCTTCAGGCATTGCCCTCTTTATCTAGCCAAAGACTGCTGTGGTGTACACAGCAGCTTCTACTCCCATTTTGTAGCTCAAGGACTGACTGACACAGAGACTAGCTGTTATCTGAGACCACTCAGGAATCCCGACACAGTGTGTGAGGGAAGGACTCAGAAAAAAGCCTTTAAACAGCCTGTGCCAGGGCAACCTCCCTCCTGCTTTAGCCTCCAGGTTGGCCAGATGACTCTTCTTGAGCAGGAGCTCAAGTGTCCTCTGCTCACCCAAACTAGCAGTAATGCCCAGGCTGTGTGTAATTCAAAGCAACCTCTCTGTTAAGTCTGAGAGCCCCCTCAGAGAGGACTCTGTCAGAGTATTTCCTGTGGTCTGAAAGAGGCATGAATTTTGGACAACAGATGAGACCTCTGCACACTCCGAAAACTTCAACACTTCAAAAGTGCCCCAAGTTGGACCTCCAGTGTTGACAGGCCTCCAAGGACATTGTTTGTAGAGAGGACAAGTGCCTGAGGAAACACATAGAAAAGCTGAGCCCTTCTTACCCCTGCTCACTATCTAGACCATCTCCACGTGTAACAGAACCAAAGTTTATACCACGTAAATTAATGAAAAAAAACCTGCTGACAAGATATCTAAGTGTATATTTTAGCCCCATAGTTGCTCCTGACTGGTGACCTTGGCTAGGTTTTAGAGGAGCAGTTCTTCCCCCACAAATAAACAAAAGGGCTTGAGAACAAGAAGTGCTTTGTTCAAAGCGTTTATCAGAAAGTGAGACTGGCAATGCCAGCTGATCTGCTCAGATCACCATATACTAAAATCAGGTTATTGCTCATGACAAGGCAGAGAGCACACTCCTGACCACAGGGAAGTTCAGTGGGAAGCTCTAAGATTTTAGGTGTCTGGACAGCAACATAAAGCCCCTTAAACACTTACCGTCACCTTCACGCCTTTTTGCTTTCCTCCTCTTGATACAATAAATAAGCCAAATCACAAAGATGACAAAAAAGAGTGCACCTCCTGCTATGCTTAAGATGAGATAAAGGTCCAGCTTGCCTAGTTAAGAGAATGAAAAAGGATGTTAGATAGAAGGAAATAACTTGCACAACATCTACTTAGAATTCTGTATTTTCTTCCATTGACTCTAAAGGCAGAGCATACCTTTTCTGGAGAATTTTGATTGCTCCATAATGGATTCAAGTTCTGCAGAAAATTGAAACCAGAGCATTCATGTGTGCCAGCTCAGCTTATTTAAATGACCACAAACGCCTGGTTCTTGCTAACAATGGACCCATTTACGGACAACGAGCATTCAGGCTGTACTCAACATCTCGCAAAAATAAACTTCTTAAGTACTTTCTACTGAGCTGGAAATACTGAGATTAGCTTGCTTCATAGTATTTTGGCACTTCCTCTTCAATTTTTGGCTCTATACAATTTAAAAAAAAAAAAAAAAGGAAAAAGGAAAAGAACATAACCAAATACATCACAGCCTCAAAATGAGAGTTTGGTTTGCCTGTGAGCAAAAATTTATGTGAATCTTCCTGTTCCTTCACCACAGAAGGTTTGCTGGATGCTGGCCTTCCTTAACAACCTCCTGCTTGGACTGTCCTCCTGGCATTCAGTGATAACACTGGAGCACAGGTGCCATGGAGCTGAACCCAACAGAAGTGCACCTTCCTTGGCTTCTTAGGGGACAGAGCTCCAAAGGGGACACCACCACTGGTACCACCCTTATCATTTCAGTAGACATGCACATGGAGGGCAAAGAGCAAGGACACAAAGCTGAGATGTCTACACTGTAAGGCGCATCAGCCTGGGCTGCCCCAGTGGAAAGAAGAGTACCCTCAGTGATGTGGTTCTTCTCCCAAGATTTTGCCCTCTCTGTGCCTGTTTCTCCTAGCTGACTCTAAGAGGAACCCAGGCAGATTCACATATAATTACACTTGTATGAAAAGGTAGCTGAGCTGAAGAACACCTGAAGCACACCTTGCTTTCTAGAAGTCAAAGTTCGGGGTGATTGGTCTTAAATGCAGGACCAAGAGTTCAAAGAGGATAGCAGGGTTGGAAAGAGGCTTGACCTCAAGGTGAGGGATTTTTAATCCACTGTGGATCTGGCAGACTCCTGCCATCACACAGAAAGGTTTGAGGGGTTTTTTGTTTGAGGAGGGAGGGTAGTGCTACATGGGCTAAGGGTTTTTTTCGGTGTCTGAGAAATGCCATATTTGTCCCTTAAAGATCACTGTGGCAAGCCTGTCATAAATAATGTTAATAATGTGAGAAAAAAACAAACTCTCCCTGACCCTGACCATTTAAAATGCAATTCCTTCAGTTCTTCTGCTGCACTTGTGATTTAGAAAGATGATGCTTCAACTGAGTAAGACAAACCACAGAAAGATCACACTTCACCTGAGCAAGAGAAACCATGGTACACTTGAGCTGTGCTGATCTGAGCAACCCCAAAGCTTAGCTAAACTCTCCATAACTTCTCTCCTGATTTCTAGGCCAAGCTGGAGAGTTGAAGCATCTTATTTTTCCCCTTGTGAGAGCACCCATCCACATCCACATGTAGCAGGCAACTACCACCTTCATAGATAGGATTATGCAGAGGAGAAAGCACACAAGTGACTTCTCCATTATGAGGATGCAAATCAAAGGCAAATCCTCTAAAATCAGTGTTGTGGCTTCATATACACATGAGAAAATCCCAGGCCAAAAACAAACTGTTATTTTATGTTGTGGTATTTTGTGTAGTTTTATCTGAAGACAACTCTTTGGCTTTGGACCACTTGACTGAAGTCAACCTTTGGGAAGTACCATTACTTTTAAAGCAATAAAGGAGGATAAAAATTAAGAGGAAAGTGCTTTCTGCCTTTTGCAGACTGTTGTATGTCATTAAAACACTTTTAGGCCAACTTCCCTGCTTTCTTCTTTACTTCACTGGTCTACCACTAGTGGTGGTTGACACCACTCAAGTCTATGAGGAAGCTGACACCAAAAAATCTGTTAGGGTACCCCTGGCAGCTTTTGAGAGAAGCAGTGATGGAGGAGAGGGAGAAAATGATGGGATGACCAAGAATTTGTCTGATTCATTCACCCTGAGACAGCCTGATCTGTCTGGGAGGCTGAAGTCTTCCTCAGAAGACATCACCAGGAGTGGGAGCAGCCCTACAGTGAGCCCTGGAGGCCTCATTACCACCCATAAGGCTCTTGACTCCACAAAAACCTGTTTCACTCTTCCTGCAACCCCCAGGCCTCACTCACATCCTGGCTACCACAGCACCATCAGCTCCCAGTGACTGTGTCTCCCAGCACTGAGTACCCAGGACCATCTGTTCTCCTGGCACCTGGACCAGTCCTACAGGTACGTGAAACTGCATCAGGCTGTGTGGGTCCATCCTAGCAGATTCTGACAAAAGAAAGCTCTTACCTGAGCACTTGATTGCTTTTTCAACCATTTTTTCACTGACTTGGTTCTTAACAGCACATCTGAATGTCCCAGAATGCCGTGTCTGCAATTCCAGCATAGCTGCATTCTTTTGGATTTTTCTGCCATTAGGTTGAGCCAGTTCTATTGTAAATTCTTCATCTTTAGCCTTGTGCTCCACTTCACACTTGACATATACAGTTTTATTCATGCATTCAGCACTGAGGATTGGCTGAGGGACAGGCTCTGAAAAAGAAGAGAAGGGACAGGCACAGATGGTTTCTCATTTTGAAAACTTCCATTATTAAGCAGAACAGAGAATTAACCCCAAATAACCAGATAATGAGAATGAACCCGCTAACAGAAGAATGAAGAGCAAATTAGGCCTCTACTGCAGAAGTAACATGGCCATAATAAATCAAGTGCAGTGCAGTGCAGTACCCTACATGTTTGGCCCAGCAAAGCAGAGCTGCACCACTGCAGCTGGACTACTTTCAGGCTCAGCCTGGCTCACAGCCAACCAGGCAGGTGAAGGGAGGAAGCTGGGTTTCCAGGGAGGCAGTGGATGGCAGGGACTCAGAGCCACAGCCCCCTCCAACTCCAGCCCCAGGGTTTTGGTGCAAATGAAGTTGGCCCTGCTCTGCCTGTGCCCATCGGGAGAGATTTTCTCTAAAGCAGAAAAAACAACTACTTATGATGCTCTGTGTACTACCTACAGCACTCAGCCAGCACAACAGCCACAGCATGAAAGCCCATCAACCCAGAACGGAAAACACAAAACAGACACCTCAGCTCTCAGTGAGGTTATAACAGAGAAAACAGATCTCTGTCTCTTCTTACGCCCTGCAAACAACTAGTTAAATTTTGGTTCCAGTTTCTCTATCACTGGTGGTATTGAAAGAGCCAGAAGAGCATGTGGGGTTCTCCTTGACTAGGGGCAATTGGCAGGGACAGCAAATGGGAAAAAAAAAACAAACAAACCAACAAACATTTCACAGAATATTTTGAGTTGGAAGAGACCCACAAACATCACCAAGTCCAACTCATAAGTGAATTGCCCCTACAGGGATCACACCCACAACCTTGACATTATTAACAGTGTGCTCTAATCAACTGAGCTAATCTCAGAGTCCACCTCTTAGAACAGGTAAATAAAAACCTGCCAGGTCACCTCTAGTTACAGGCAGTGTAAGTTATGGAGATCTTAAATTTTAAAGGCAGTGAGGGCTGTTTGTGGCACATGCAGTTTGGGTTCACACCATGACATCTGCAGTCACCCTTTCCCTGGTAAGCCCACTCCTCTTCTGCAAACTGTAACCTTTTATTCAGGGGAACATCCCAGCATGAAACACTAGCGTCCAGGTGCTGGTGATGGAGTTGTGTCAGGATATCATTGAAACTGGTTTGTTTGTTTGTTTGTTTGTTTTTGACAACCATTTGTCCAACCCTAGTAACAATGGGGTAACCTGGCTGACAAATTACTCCGGTGCCCAACAGTTACTACAGGGCTTTACTTCCAAGTGTGTGTGTCAGAGGTAAGGACACGTCTCTGCACAGTACTGCTGCACAATGGAGGAAATGCACACAGCTGGGTTGGAACCTTAACCTGAAATAAGGACAACCCAATGACAGTTCAGTGGCTTAAAACATGACCATGCAGCATCAGGCCCTGATGACTTCCTGAATCTGTTTGCAATAATAGTTCCCAAAGTAACAAGACACCCTCATGGCTCAGCAGCCCCTCAGACAAAGGGCTTCCCATTGCACAGAAACCCTGATAAAACCATTCCAGCTGTCCTTGCTGCCTCATCAGGGCATCATTTCTGTAGTGCCCAGAAACCTGAGAGGTTGGCAAATATGTGCACGCTGGCTAAAGAAGGACAGAGCAAAACTACTTTCTTTTTGGGGAAAAAAATCCATGTTATCCTACAGCTTAGAGGTCTGGAGAGGTGGCAGCAGCCATAAAGGAGCAGAATAACTATCCCCTGTTCATCAGAAAAACTTTGGGCTGCTACTGCTCTGATCCCTAAGGACAAGATTCAGCATAGAAAGCCCTCGTGTTTGAATCCATGCAGCTGAAATCCCCAGGTGTGTGCTTAATTGTGCTTTGAACAGCATCCTGCTTCCAGAAACCTCTTATGGGAGCACAGCAGCCTATGTGAGGTTTCTGGAAGCAGGATGCTGCTGGGAGCCCAGTCCCCCTCGCAGGGTGCTACCCCAGCCCAGGGTCCCAGCACCGTTTGTGGTGCTGCAGTAGGGCCGACCACGCTCACCCTGCTCTCAACACAGACCTGCTCACAGCTGTTTTCTTGGGCACATGTAGAAATCTTGTGGCTGACAAACAGGGGAGCCAGAAAGAAGCCAGGGGGCTCAGGCCATCAATAAGAGCAAGAGAAGGGAGGCAGACTGCTGTCAGTGGCGGGAGAAAGAAGGTACATCTTTGACAGAAGTCCCCCTGCCCCCAAATCAGAAAGGGGGGCAATGAGTAGGAAAGGCTGCAGGAGAGGAAAAAAAAAAAAAGTACCAAGTCTTATTCAGCTGTGCTGGGAATGGTATGGGAAAAGCAGAAACTCACCCTGAACAAAGAATCTTGTCTTTTCTTCTGCCTTCCATTTTCCATCATGCTGATAAACAGTCACTGTGTAATTTCCACTGTCCCCTTTCACCACCTGATGTATTTGCAGAGTCCCATTTTGGAGTATCTTACACCTGCATTGGTCTTTGTTCACATAGTGCTTAACGTCCTTATTTTTTATCTGAACCAACCTTTGTCCATCTCTCTGCCATATTGCATGATATATGTCCCCAGGAGCAGCGATGTTGAGAAGAGCTGTCTCATTCACTGCCTTGTAAATCCAATTGACAACAGAGCCTGTTAAGGGAAGCACAACCAGCCCATCAGTGGTCTGCAACAGCCCTCACTGCCAAGCTCAGTAGCCACAGCAGTCACCCAAAAGGTTGTCATTTGCTCCTCCCCAGGTTGTCTGAGCCTCCCTGCATTGCTGTTGCCATCTTCTTCCCCTGCTCCAAAGCACCTCTTGGTTGGTCATTAGATAAATGTCAGCGTCCATTTTAATTCTGAGAGGCAAGAAAGCTAGGAGTCTAGCTTTCAAAAGCTGACTTTTTATACTCTGGCTGACCTACTTGGAGTGACTCTGGATGCCAAGATTCATGGCTGCCCACATATTTAACCTTGAAATTAACCCTTCCTGAAAATAAGGTCGCTTTGGTGTGTTTTGCACATGGTACACACTGATACCCAGAGCACCCTCACTGCAAACATTACTGCAGGCAGCAGGAACACAGACCAGTCGTGTCCCTGGACAGTAGGATCTGTTCAGCAACAACAGTGATAGCAATAGTTATAATAATAGTAGCCAGTATCAAGCAGTGAGTGTAAGGCACTGAACTGAAGGCAGACCCACTGCAGTGCCCCCTCCTCACCCATCCCAGGCATCCTGCCCCACTGGAATATATCCACTGGGTTTTCCTAGGACACAATCCTGGTGGGGCAAGTAAGGCAGCCAGAAACAAATAGCCACTCACATCCTGTGAACTGAGGGGCTGCTGGAAACATTATGACATAAGCAAAGGCAAAAAAACCCTTTTCTCTTTGCAGGCCTCCTTTGTTGACAGCTGCCTTCTCCAGAGCAGTTAAGAGTACAAGCTTCCCAAGGGACTGGGCAGCACTTGAGCTTGGGGCTGCCAAAGGGGATATTCAGGAAAGCCAAGGACACTAAAAGTCTACACGTTACGACCTGAGGGGATGACAGGCCCTTCGGCCATGCCCAAGCACCCTGCCCGCTCCCCTCCAGGCTGCTTCACACACGGCCCTTGCAGGACCCACCCCACATTTTCAGAGTGCAAAGTTTGTTGGGAGGTCATTTCAAGTACTGTCCCCACCCTTGAGGCAGGTGGAGAATCTGCAGGAGAAGGTAGAAACCTGTGTGAGAGTGTCAGGTGGGATGAGCTCACTGGCAACTGACCGTGGTTTATTTAACACGGCTTATTTAGTTTCTCATTTTCTGATGCTCATTCCTCCTCAATTTACAGGATGAAGCCAATCAGCAGGAAGAGCTGATTCTGCTCTAATTTTATATACTTTAAGTACTTTTTCCCCACAGAGAGAAAAACTACGTTTGTGCATATTTTTATTACAGTCCTTTATTCCTTGTATCTAGGATAATGACAAACTGCCCCACAGAGGGGAAACTGAAATCCAGTGGCTATTTCATTAAGCTAACAATATTAGATATAATCAAAGAACTAAAATGCTGTGCCTCCGCAACAAGATTAATGCTGTAGTGCTTCTGGGCACATTCACCTAAATTCAGTCTAAAGAGAGACTGTTCTTTCAGTAGTCCCTTTCTTACAAAGTATGCAACATATCTAATGACATATCCTGAAATCAAAGTATCAACTAAACAGCCTTGGAAGCAGCTATGCCCCACATAGATGACACTACAGATTATATCCAAATATTTGAATTCTGATATTTGTTTCTGCTCACTCATGAATAACTATTTAGAGCTATTAACAGGATTTCTTTGCGTAACAGAAACTACTTATATTTCCCCTCCAAAAGTAAAGGAAAAAAGTAATCTGAGTTTCCAGAGATAATTCAATGGCACCTCTGTGAACAGACCACCGAGACACAACTATCAGATTGATCCCTGTAGTCTTGCTAAATGGAAAGCTGCGTATCCAACATATATGATACTAAAAATCTGTTTAGCTAATGAAACATTTATGTTAAAAAATGCCAACTGAAATGTGCTCCAAGGGGCAGAAAGGTCTGAACTGAGAGCCCAGAGCTCACTCACGGTCACAAGAAAGAGTTAGAAGTTCCCGTAGTAACTTTAGAGAAGGAAGGAAGTCTTTGAAAGAAGTTTTCCATTCAAGGGAATAGTCATCATTTCTGCTGGGGAACGTTTCATAGGTCATGTACATAAAAAAAAAAAATCCCTATTTATCTATTAATTTTGTTCTGAAGGAAAAGCAAAGCATTAAGCAGCCATACATACAATCTGCAGTGGAAGGAAACAGAGGAAAAAAAAAGTTATGCATGCTTGTGTTGTCTCCATCTCTTATAACCTTCTCTAATCTATGAGTTAACACCCTAATTAAGTTTTTAGATTAATATTTTAAAAAATAATATGAACAATAATACGCAAAACATAAAAGATGTATGTATTTACTTGCTGTTTTCTCATTTTAGACTTCAACTCCACTGAAGACACTGAAATGTATCACTCTGTTAATATTTATGGAAGAATATAAATTACACTTTCAAAAGATTTGCACATCTTCGATAAGAAAAGGAAATTACATGCGATAATGCACAGCGAACAGAGGTTCTCTAATGTAGTACAAGCTACCTTGAGGGCAGAAAGAAAACTGCATGCTGACATTTCTCATTAAACATGTGTCAAATTAAGGCTCATTAACTTAAACCCCAAACTCTTTACAGCTTATTATTGGAACTGGAATAGGAAACTCAGGTCTTGCCCTCCCCCCGGCTGAAAATTAAATCAAATAATAATAGCAATAACCCAGATGTCTTCACTCATTGGAAAAGTGGAACTAGTTTCTTATCGGTAACAGCCCACCAAGTTGTAAATGGCTTAAAATGCAATTTTAATGTTAGCCTGAAAGAGCAAAGAAGGGTAAGAAAAACTCACATTTTACACTGGGAAATAAAAGCAGCATGCACTTGACTAGGAAAATCCTCCCAATGTTCATTTTCAGAGTCAAAAAAAATTCCAGTGTCGCCTTGTCTAATGACAGCTCCTGGCAGGTAAAAGGATTTTCTGCTATGAGCAGTCATGGGACGTGTCAGTCCAGCCCCTGTACCCTCCTCCCCTCCTCCAGCTCTCACCCCGGCACTTCTCGTTTCTAGCACAGACACAAAAAAAAAAAAAAAAGGGGCAGAAATACCTCTCAGTGGAGGGTTTTGTCAGGATGGGGACAATGTGTAGCAACAAAGAAAATGGACATTCAAGGCAGGAGTGCCCCTGAGGTTTGCCCACCCAGCTGGAGGGCCAGCTAGGCTCTTGTCCTCTTCAGTGCTCACCCAGAGAGTTCTGCTCCAGCATCCACATGCCACCATCCTCGAGAGATGGATGCAGTTTTTGAGTGGGGGAGAGATGGAAATCCTTATTCTCCCCCTTAGTCTTAGCAGCAGCAAAGGGACAGCAAGCCCAGGACCCCCCATGAGGACCAGGTGCCTGCTGGCTGTCAAACGCAAAGGAGATGCACTTCTCTTGGAAACCATCAGGAATCAGCTTCACATCAACATCTGATCTATGACGGGCTGGCCAGTGCCACAAAGGCATCCTGCAGGCAGGGCCAGCGTCTGGGCAAGCTGTGAGGGAGGGATGAGCACGGAAGGGGATGAGAACGCAGCCTTGGATGTATCCATAAACCATCCCTGAGGCTGGCTGGTGTGGGAAAGAGCATGAGGAAAGAAGCTGTGAGGAGGCAGGGGAGCTGGGTCCAAAAGCACATAAGATAATAAAATCTTTATTCCTGATTCCAATACAAAACAGATGGAGTGGTGAGGATTTTGAATCTTACCCTCCTCAGCACAATTCCTCTGGCTACAGTGGCCACTGAAATCTTCCAGCTTTTTATCACAGATATAGACCAAGAAAGAAGACAGAAGAACACTGGAGATGTACAATATTAGAGAAATCTTTCTTGTTCATTCATACCGTTCTTCTTCCTTGAAGTTAAAGGAAGGTCTTGTAAGATACCTCCTCTTCTCCAGCGTCATCATTTTTTAGCTGGTACAAATGAGGTAAAAAACATCGCTTTTTGCAAAAAAAGGAGAAAAATTTATCTGAGGTAATATGCACTAAAGTCACAATATTGCTGCCTCTAAACCTGGCTTTTCTTCCTTCTTTCAGTTATTATTTCCTTACATGGAATGCACAACAGGGGTACATGCAAAAGGAGAGAGGAAACAGCAAGAGTGAGATGACGTTTCTGTGCTGACCTCCATCCTCTGTGGAAAAAGCAAGCTGAGGGCAGGGGCAGCCGTGCCCAGGTATCTCCCCAGCCAAGCAGGTTGTATCGACCTCTTGGACACATCTGCTTCCAGCCCAAGTACTTAAAATGACTTTGGGCAAAGGCAGCAACACCAATTTCTCCTGCCTTTTTTTTTTTTTTTTTTTTCACTGGGTCCATCAAGCAGAATGGAGGGAGGCCCCCCGCATGCTGAAATCACTGCCACACTTTGCTCAGCTCCTCTCTTCCTCAAGGAAACATCCCTCAAAGCCACCACCTGCTTCCAGTGTCCGCCTGTGTGTTGTCTGTCACACACTCAAATTGAGAACGTGCTGGGGCAAGATCTGTCCTTCTGCTCTGAGCACACACAGCCTGCTCAGTGCCATACTGCTCACAAGAAGCTGCCTGCGTGGAGCTGCAGGCAGAAACTGGAATTGGTACAAATTGAATACAAATGGAAAGATATGTGTGTGCATGAAAAGTGAGTTAAAGCTCCATAGCAGTAGAACAAGGTGTAAAAGGATTCCCTGTATTAACAATTAAAGCCATGACTTCCAGTGAATCAGTTTGTCAGGCCCACTCATGCTCTTGTAAAATGACAGCTGAAATGAGTCAGACTGAAAGCCCCTGTGCTCCAGGAGACCAGTTACAGCACACCAAACATCCTTGTTTCTCTTAGAGCAATAGGTAGACTAGAGCAAGAAACCAATCCTGGAGGGTCTGTTCAAAAATGAGCTTACTGTGAGCAGTGAAGGGGCACCCAAAGTCCCCTGTTCACTGTACACCACAGAAGTGACACTGGGCCTGGATATCCTCCTTCTGAGGACTTGGGTGCATATGCACAAAATCAACCTGCTTAGAGATTTTGTGTGACAAAAGCACAGCTGGATGTGCAAAGAGCCAAACCACTCACCTGCAACAAGGATTCCCTGGGAGATCCTGGCATGTGCGTGGTCCATCCCACTGAGCAGCCCCTTTTCTAACCAGCATCAGAAACCTCCTGCACCATCAGACCCAGCTAGACAAGGAAAAAGCAGCCCATGTCTCTAACATCAGTCTTCCTGCCAGATGAGAAGTGGGGAAATGGCAATATCCTGCCAGCTTTACCCTCCCTCCCTTGAGGAGCAAGACAATGCCATGCTGCAGTCCTGATTGGGCTTTGATTCCAATTTTAGAAGGAGGAAGGGATTTTCTGGACATTACTGGGAGGGAAACACTGTAAGTCCATGCACTGATGTCCCTGTTTCCCTCCAAGAAAAGCCCCAAGGGAAGGCATTAAGGAGAAGGTGTCTGAAGGTATCTCTAGAAAGCACAGCAGCTTTGGGCTACTGCCATAAAGGAGGTCTAGAAGCCATTGTGGACTTTCAGTAGTGCGGCACAGGAAGCACATCCTGAAAACACATCTACAGCAGAGAGCACTGGCAGAGCAGACTACCACAGCAGCTGGTGATCCCCCCAAGGCAGAGGGACAGCACAGAGAGAGCTGTTGCCTGAATCTGTGTGTGGCCACAGCCCAGACACTGCCCCAAGCTGTACTGGGCAGGACAAGGCGAGGTCTGCCAGCCCTGTAGATAATTGTGCTCTCACTCTTCTGCTTGCTGCAGACACCCTCTCTCCTACCCCTCACACAGGAAATAACACCACTGGGCTAAACGAGCACCAGCTACCAAAACAGGGCACTGATAGAAAAGTAGATGTCTCCTAGTGCAGTGGTGATGATCCTGCCTCCAGTTAGACCTGTCAGCTGAGGACGCTTGACCCCTATTTACCACACTGCTTTGTTAGAGATCTCCACCTTCTGACACATAGGAGAGTAGAGGACCAAGCACAACCTTGACAGTGGGCTGGTTCTTTGCAGGCACTGCAAGCTCTGTGGTATTGTTTCCACTGCAAAAGCCACAAAGCACTGTAGTCATATACATTTGCTTTTGTGGCTTGCTCTCTCTTTACTTTTCAGTTCTTTGTAATACACTACACAGTTTCCTCACAGGGAATGTAAGTTATCATACTTACATTTCCACGTAAAAGTGACAGACTCCCACTCATCTGAAGGCAACATCTCAAGAGACAACATGCAGTTGTTCCCAACTCTTAAGTCTTCAACTTAGTGATGAGCCAATAAACATTCCTGCCTGAGGCTTATTTAAAAAAAAAAAATGTTATTTGATCTACTAGAAAAGGAAGACTACGAATACACTTAGCATGTTCTTCACAGAAAAGTAGGTTTGTAGCCCATCTAATAGTTTGCAGCATCTCTTCTTGTATGAAGCTTAGGTTGTAATAAATGGCATTTGCACAGGAATTAAACACCTTGCAGTCACCACGACCACCCAAGACCTTCACCATGAAAAGTGACAGGAACGTTGCAAATTCATACCTCTAAATTTCTCACAAAGACAGGCCTTTGGTGAGGCACAGTGTGTGAGAGAAGGGCAAATGTGATCTTCATTGGAATGCCAGAGGGGTAATATATGGAGGGAAAGCTTTGGGTAAGGATAACCTTACTCTTGGGAGTTCTCCTGCAAGACTAACAGCTGGGCCCTGTGTGGGTTGCCCTGGTTGGTAGCTGAGGGTTTCACAATGGTACATTCCCCTTTACTGTAGCTTCTTGCAGGACAGGAGGAATTGCAGGTAGTGTCTGGAGTGGGGAAGAAGTAAAGTCAGTCCTGGCAAGGGGAGTTGCCCCTGCACTATGAAATGCCAAGGAACTGCTGGCTTCCACATACAGTTTCAGCCATTTAGCTGATGGACACGTACTCCTTCCTGTTCACTCCTGCCTTAGGCAGGGCCAAGAAAGGAAAAACTCCACCTTGAATAAAGTGGTGCAAATATGAATATCATGAACTCAAAACAGAGCTTTGGCCAAGGTTTTGGCAGGGATGCTGACTCAGAACCTGTTATGTGGAAACTGATAGCACTGATTTAACTGTATGCAATGGAAATATCCCAGAAATAGTGACACATGCTACCAATATTGAAACAGTTGTCTGCACAAACAGTTTTATCTTTCTCTAAAGAAATGCAAATGGAAGCTTTCAAACTTTGAGTCATGCAGAATAGTACTCAGGTGGTTATTTGAAGAGAAATGGCTCCCTTGCAATGTCCATAATCCCACGTAGAATCCATAGAATATCCTGAGTTGGAAGGGACCCACAAGGAACATCGAGTGCAACTCCTGGCCCTGCACAGAACCACCTCAAGAATCATACCACGTGCCTGAGGCCATTGTCCAAACACTTCTAGAGCTCTGTTAGGCTTGAGGCTGTGATCACTTCCTCAAAAAACCTGCTCCAATACCCAGTACTCACCCTCTGAGAGTGCCTTTTTCCGAATATATATACCTAAACCTTCCCTTATACAGCTTCATACCGTTAAAGCATTAACCCCAAGTGTTCTCTCTCAGAGTAATTTTCTTTTTTTCCACCTGTAAGCATGTGTCAACAGCCAAACCTCACAAAAGATACCCACTTCAATTCTGGTCTGAAGGAATGTAACCCCACAGACCAAGCAGTCGGGCAATCTGTGGTCCACAATGATGACTGAGGCTAGAGCAGATGTCAGCATCCTGTCAGTTATTCCTGCAGATGGTGCCTTTCAGTCTTGCTGGTAATTTCCATCATCTGTAATGATCCTAGATTTAGGATCTAACTTTCAGCACCTTGTTCTAGTAATTTCAGTGACATAACTACTACTGCAAAGCAATCCAAGTACGTTTTCTGGTATGATGCAATCAATCTGTTTTATACAAGAAGCCAGATAAATGAACAGAAAAGCCTCTTTCAGTCTTAACAGTG